ATTTGTTTGCCTCTAGATTTTCACAGATATTCAATTATCTTTTTCAGAATCTTCCCAGATACTATATGAGGCTGATAGGTCTGTAGTGGATCCATTTTTTCCCTCCTTTTTTGAAGATGGAAACCACATTAGCTCTTTTCCAGTCCTCCGGTATTTTCCTGGTGCTCCAGGATCTTTAAAAGATATGGTTCAGTAGTTCTAAGATCATATCTGCTAGTTCTTTCAGAATCCTGGTATGTAATTCATCTGTACCTGGTGATTCGAACTCATCTAGAATGTTTAGATGTGCTCTTACCATTTTCTTGCTTATTTTGACTTGCATTCCTAATCTGTCTTTTACGGTACTACTTTTGATAGGTTGGGCTACTTTTTTTTTCTTTTGCATAAAGACCATTGCAAAGAATGAGGTTCCTTTTTCTCCCTAATGTCCATCGCTTCCTTGTCATCTTCTCCCATTAGTGGACCAACTGTTTCCTTGGCTTTGTTTGTTTTTAACATGTTGAAATAAACTCTTTTTTATTAATTTTGACATTTGTTGAAAATCATTCTGAGCCTAGCTTTCCTGACCCCATTTTTGCAGATTCAGGCTGTATTCTGGTATTCTACCTTAGTTATGTGTCTTTCTTTCCATTTTTTTATACTTGTCCTTTTTGTCTTTCAGTTTATCAGCAAATTTTTTATGCAACCATAAAACCAATTCTTCAATTTCTTTCTTTCTTTCTTTCTTTCTTTCTTCCTTCCTTCCTTCTTTCTTTCTTTCTTTCTTTTTTATTGCAGTATTGTGGGGGATTGGATTTTTATAATTACATTTTTCACAGTTTCCAAAGCTTTTTGAGTTGTTTCCCCCTTTAATATTTCAGCTATGGAATCCTTTCCAAGCTCTAAGTGTATTCAAATCACTTTCTATTAAAATCTAAGACACTAGTTTGATTTTATACTATTGATTATGTATTTATTACACTAAATTCCAATATGGCACATGGATATATCTTTTCAATAAATTGAATAACATTTGTTTACATTTTAGTTAAACAAACATAACTATTACAGTTTGAAATATTAAACTTGGGAGATAATGACTTCCATATTACTAATGTTAATTCCCAATGGTTTCATTAAGTCAAAAGACACTAAATGCCTGTCTGAAAATAAATAGTTCCTCTATTTATATTGAAGATAAAGAGTCTGTATTTGCTAGCAAAAACCATGCATTTCTGTATGTACTGTTCTGTTTACTAAAGACATAAGATAATAATAAAATATTATTAAGAACCCATACTGAAATGGTAGTTGTTATGTATGTACCCTATTTTTATTAATATATCTTAACTATCTATAATTATAATGAAATCTTATTCAATCTTGTTTCTGTCTGTATCTTTTTCCTGTTCTCAGTCATTGTTCTTGGTTAATTGGTTAGCTGAGACTCTCACAATCAGTTTCCTAAAAGATAATAGTTTATATAGTTTAAATCAGTAGACAAAGTCATTTCTGTACCTCATGAACTTTTCAAACTGAACATGAGAAGTTGTATTTTTTTTAAAAAAAATAGAATTTTCAAATTCATACACATTTCTTAATATTTGCAAAGTTTGTACATAATATGATAATCCATTCTGTTTCTGTAACTTTTTTGTATTGTACATAATGCCTCACTTGATATCTGCTTGAAGGTTCATTAAGAAAAAAAATCTTACTGAACTTACTGACATTAAAGTTATGAATACTGAATCTTTTCCAGCTAATGCAAGAATTACTCAGTATTCAATTTTACAACATCAATGAAAGAGACTTCTAAGAAACCCATTTACCATATGTGTAATGGTATGTGACACTATGTGACTGTTCAATTTCATGTGGAATTCTCAGATGCTTTAATATTCAAATGAAAAATCACCAACAAAAATAAAATAATTACATTATGTTTATTTTATATTGTATTTGACTTGGTTTTTTTTAAAAAAGATATTTTACAAACTTTAAGAATCCAAAAAATAAAGAAACATTTTTGATCTTTATTTCCTTTCTGTAAAAGTTATCTATAAAAGTGACAGCCAAAAAACTCTATAGAAATGTAGATTAAGTGCCTGTTTAGGATTGTATTAGTGTGTGAAGAGCTCCAATTTCAATGTCAACAGGGCAGGCAAATAGTTTCCTATATTTCTGTCTCTCCAGTGAAAGGAGAAATTACATTTTTATTACCTGTATTTCTGTACCTATTTGATAGTGAAGAATGTTATACTAATTTTGAAACAGATATGAATAGGAAAGAATCTTAACTCAGAATCATCATGAAAATAAGATGAAGCCCATTCTAGTAATTTAAATTGCTAAAGGCAAGAAGATATAGCAATCCAATTCATTGTAAATAAAAACCATTTATCCATACAACTGAATCTAACTATAATTGAAAGGATATTTACTTTATGTTATATATCAATATTTATTGAAATGTATTTTGGTGATAGGGTTAAAAATAGTGTGATGGAAATTGGGAAACAATTATTTCTAGTCCTATAGTTACCAGGAGTTAAGAGTGACTCAAAGACAAATAAACACAGACACACACACAAATTCTTGGGTACACAAACACACACACATAATTAATTATTCCAAAAAAAAACCCCTTCTTAGCACAGAATGTTTCTAATGATTATCTTTATCTCTCTGTTTCTCAAACTGTAAATAAAGGGATTGACCATGGGGGTTAGAATGGAATATAGAAAAGAGAAGCTCTTATTCATATCTCTGAATTTGCCAGTTGTTGGCATAATGTAGACAAGCATTAAGGAGCCATAGAAAATGGAAACTACAGTGAGATGGGAAGAACAGGTGGAAAATGCCTTTTCTCTCCCATTCACAGATTGGATTTTTATAATTGCCTGGATGATAAAAGCGTAAGATGAGACAGTTATGAAAAATGTAGGTATAATTCCTAAAAATGATGTTATCAAAGCAACTCTTTCAATCACCCAAGTGTCACTGCAAGAAAGACGTATTAAGGGTGTGAAATCACAAAAGAAATGGTCAATTTCGTATTGATTACAGAATGTGAGTTGTGTCAACAAGGATGTCAAAACACTGATAAGCAGAAATCCTATTATCCCTGATGTAAAAACCAGCAAAATACATGTTTTGCCATTCATAAGTGTGACATAATGCAAGGGTCTACATATGGCTAGATAACGATCATAAGACATTGCTGCCAAAAGGTAACATTCAGTAGCTCCCAAAGTAGAAAAGAAATGCATCTGTAAAATACAGCCCCAAAGAGAAATTGTTTTCTTTCCAGAGAGAAAAATGGCCAGCATTTTAGGTATTGTTGTTGAGGTGTAGCAAATTTCCAAACAGGCTAGATTAGAAAGGAAGAAGTACATAGGAGTATGAAGATGCTTCTCCATCATAACCAATATAATTATGAGAAGGTTTCCAGACAGTGTTACAGTATAAAAGATTAAAAATAAGAAGAAGAAAATAGTGTCCAGGTTCTCAGTATTCCCAAATCCAAGAAGGATGAACTCTTTTATCCTTGTTGTGTTTTGCCATTCTGAATGCTTTTCAAATGTCATCTATTAGTAAAATGTCAAATGTTGCAGATTTTGTAATTCCTATATAACCTACTGTAATGCATGAAAAGAAACATATATTTACAGATATATTCATTTTCCATGAGATGCAGCAAAATTTGCATTAATTCCAGAAAAACATAGAGCTTCCTCCACATTAAGTCACATTCACTTGACGCCCACAGAAATTATGAAGAACTGATAGCTAGGACTATGTTGATTTTTTTATTGTAACTATTTCCTGCAAATAGAATTAATATACTCAATTATTTACAAATTGCACATGTGTCATGCAGTTAAAAAACATAATTGAAAATTATGCATTTCATTGAAAATATTACATTTTAAAACTTTCTGAGCTTAAATCTTGAAATAAAAAAATATCTTTCTAGGTTATTTCTGTTGATTGAAAAGGTAAAAATATAATAATAGTGAAATAAAAAAGATATATAAGGAAAATACCTATGATTCTTGATTTAAAAGGTAAAGTTCTAGTGTTCCAGTTAGCATAAGAAATAATTCTCCCAAGAATGTGGCATTTAAAAGAAACAGGCATTGTTTTATTGGCTATTGGTAGTAAATATCATCATTCAACTCAGTTGTAGCCTTCTTTTGTTCTCAGTGGTGTGAACCTACACTAAAGATAAAATAATCAGAATAGCCCCAAGAGGAAAAAAAATGTTTCCAGAAGATAATTTGCCTAGTGGAAATGAAAATTTAGAGGAGCAAGAAGGGAATAAAGTGGCCTTTTTTTCCCCCTTCTCACTCATCTCTATCTACTTTTTGTCTTAATATTTCTAGCAAAACCTGGAAATGTTAAGAAAGTTTTTTTAAAAAAGTAATATTTTCAACGAAACATGTAATTTTCAATTATGTTTTTTAATTGCACGAACCATGTGCAATTTATAACTAATCTAGTCCATTAATTATATTTGAAGGAAATATTTACAATAAACGAAAGTGTAATATGAAAAACCATAAAATATATATATTTTTTCAACCTGGCATCAGAGGAAAGTCTGTAAAATGTTGTCAGAACTTTGCAGGTAAATGTCTGCAATGTTGATCAAATAAACCAATTGTATATTCCTCCCTTTTAATTTTAACAGTTTTAATAGTTAGCTCATTCAAATATTGTAGGATTTTATTTCTCTTCAGTTCTTTTTTATTCCACTTCACAGGCTTCTTCAAGGCTTTAACAGGTACTTTTGGAGATCCAAAACCAAGATGCTGGATGGGAGTGGATGCCTGATGTAAGGCTCCTAATAACGTTCCCTCAATATTGAAAAATAATATGTGGGTCTTTCTCCCTGTAGAGCACTTGTCAAATGCCTTACCATATGTCCCTGCCTGACATACATAGAATATCAACAGTGTCCAAGAGTTTGATCATAACCAGAGCTGAAGCTAGTGGACATAGAGCCAGAGCTAGAGATGGAACTGGCTGCTATTGTGCAGAGCCTCATGGATTCCACGTTGAGAACAAGGGTGGTAATGGCAGTGGTTGTGGCAGAGAGCCAACAGTGGAAACTAGGGCAGAGATGGAAAAATCCAAAGCTGGTCCATAACATCAGCAATAGCAAAGGTGCAGCTGCAGGGCTGGTGGACAGAGGAGAGTCAGAACTGATGGTTGGACACCAGACCTGGAGGCTAAATGGGGTGGCAACTGCAGGAACTCAAGGCTACACCTGGAGCCCAGTAGCCCTTGGGAGAGGCCTGGGAACAATCCCAAGGAGGTGATTCTGGAAATCCAGTGGAGAACTGGGTAGTGAGCATCAGTGCTGGAGGAAGACAATGCCCCAAGATGAATGGAAAGTCTGCTTCTAGGATGGAAGCCTGGGTGAATCTGTACATTTGGAGGTGAATGGTTGCATGCAATTGAGAGGGAGTAACAGTTGGAGGGGTTAATGAGTATATTCTGTCCCCTGTTGAAATCATTGAAGAGCCCTGGTAGAATGCAGTATTGCAAACTAAATATGTCTACAGTCTGGAGTTCAATCCTGACAGAGCTCAAGATTGACGCAGCCTTCTATCCTTCCGAGGTTGATAAAATGAGGACACAGATTGTTGAGAGCAATATGCTGATATTGCAAACCACTCAGAGAGTACTGTAAAGCACTATGGAGCAATATATATGTCTATTGCTATTGCTATAAGCATAGGGGAAGGATTGTTGTATCTGGAAAACTAAGAGAGGGGATCTTTCTACTTAAGTCTACCAATTCAGCATTGAAATATTAGACTTTTTCTTTTTAATCCAGCTTCAAAGTATTCATTTGTTTTATTGGGGAACTTGGGTGATATCCATCAATTTCAAAAAACAAAGTGATAAATTATTATATTAATGTTTTTTTTAGAAAGCAAAATTTGTAGCTGAAATAAATAAAGGCATTGCTTTTAAACAAACATTTTTGCTTTTTAAGCCAGTGATGTTTTTATGATACCCTAAAACATAGATCCTCAAAACAGAACTCGCAGCATAACTGAGAAGCTAGAACATGCTATTTGTTAATTCTTTATAATGCTATGATTTACAAACTCGGGATATCAATTTATAAAACTTCATTATTAAAGAATGACATCCTGTAATGCTGGATTAAAAAAACTTTAAAATATTATTTCAAAATAGCAGAATAGATGTGATATCTGTGCTGGTCAGAGTAAATAGCTATTTTAGGAATTAAGAATTGTCCCCTTAAGGGATAGCCTTTTGGGTAATGTAGTTTTAAGTTACCTGGTCATATTTGTGTTTCAGATTAGCCACTGGGAGGGACTTCTGATTGGCTACCAAGATTTCTGGCTACGTGAAGGCCAGCGGGGTCTTTGTGAATTCCAGCCACGAGAACTGTTTGCTCCTTTAACATGGGAAAAAACTACCTCTTTTCACCTATGTGTTGGCTCTAGATTATGCAATGTGCTTCAGAAGAATCTCTCCAGTAACTGTGAATTAATGTTTAGAGAATGCCTGATGAATTAAAGTAATCTGCATGAAACCCTTTCATTGGAGTTTATCTGCCTGTATCAAGCAACAGCAGCCCCCTTGCTTGAAACAGAACAATATCCATAGGAGAGGTTTATTTATTTATTGTATATGGCTTCCCATTTCATTGAACATAACTCTGAGTAGCAGAGTTAAAATAATGTTGGAGCTGTTAAAAAAATAAAAATATAAATAAAAGCGAGTTTGTAGGAAAAGAGCATCAATCAAAATATATTATGTCTTTTGTGCAGGCTCCCTACAGATCTCTAAGGATCCCTAAGCTTCCAGAAAAGTTACAATTTCAAGCCATTCTGAAAGATTAAGAGTGATGGGACTTATCTCACTTTAGAGGTGGGATGCTTGTGTGAGGAGCTGATGATGTTCCAGAAGACAGAACCTACAGCAGAAAAGACATATCTATGTCCTAGCAGATGAAACTGTTTTCGTATACAAGACCTGCAATATAATCCTCCTCCAGGATTTGATGTGGTCACAAAGAGGCAGTCATCAAATAGCCAGGAAAAATTGCATAACACAAAGTAAATATCATTTAACATGTCCAATGGAAGAACATATTTATATTGCATGTAATAATATTAAAGAGACTCAGAAAATTTCCCACACTTGAGGAATAGTTTTTTGAGGATTTCTTTTATGTCTTTGTTTCTCAGACAATAAATGAAGGGATTGACCATGGGGATAAGAGCGGAATAAAAGAAAAAGAAGCCCTTTTTCATATCTTTGAATTTTCCAGTGGCTGGTAAAATATATACAAATATTAAGGATCCATAGTAAATGGAAACCACCATCAGATGGGAAGAACAGGTGGAAAATGCCTTTTGTCTCCCATCCACACATGGAATATTCAGAATTACACTGATGATAAAAGTGTAAGATGATACAATTATGAAAAATGTAGGTAAAATTGCTATAGATGATGTTATCAAACAAGCACTTTCAATCACCCAAGTGTCATCACAGGAAAGTTGTACTAATGGTCTGAAATCACAGAATAAATGGTCAATTTCATAAAGCTTGCAGAATGGATGGTTGCTCCACATGCCCAGAAGATAAATATCCAAGTAAGGACTAAGATTCATGTCTTCTCAAGAAAACATCTTTTCTGTCTTATGAAGAATCAATGGGAATAGGTCTAGTCATTCTGTCACTTGTCTTTGTTCTCTGCACAATTGTGGTACTGGAAACATTTTTGAAGTATCATCATACTCCCATTGTCAAGGCCAATAACTAAAACCTCACCTACATTCTACTCATCTCCCTCCTTCTCTGTTTTCTTTGCCCACTGCAGTGGATGTACTTGTACTGCAATTGGTGCACTGCTTTCATAACCAATACCCAAACAAACCCCATTCTTGGTAACTACTAGCTTCCAGGATTAGGCATTGGCCAATATGAGCAGGACAATTTCTTCTATGGAGTAGACTAGAGAACACCTCAGGGATATCAAGTTGGGGGACATGGAAGAGACCAAATAGTGGGCATGAGAAATAACTGAGATACTTCCACATCAGGCATATGGGTTATGGGGGAGGGGAAAAACAATCAGATTTACAATGAAGGGTGGTGATGACCTCTATAGGCACAATTACTGGATACCTTCTGCCATTTTGGGAGTTACTGATAGAAGATAGGAATGACTCAGTTACACTTCAATCTCACAGCCCACAACCAGTTTTCTCTGAGAACTTGAGAGAGGCAGATGAGTCTGAAAGGGAGGGTTTGTGGGTAAGACATTGGGAGACCAGGCAAAGAGTTGCTGCCTAGGAAATGGTCAGATAAGAGCTAACATAGACCACATCTGCATAGAGGGTGGAGTAAGAGGTTCATAAGGGACTGTCCCTAAGTTATTGGGTTGTAAAAGTGTCAGCAAGAGAATTTTACTTTCAGACTTCCAAGATTCTGCTAATGTAGCTTTACAGTAATTACTGGATTTGTGTGGTGGTCTACCTGCTATGGCTGATAGAAAATAAGAAAATAAGAAGGGCATATTGAGATTGTTGTTGTTAATTGCAAAGTCATGTCTGACCCATCACGACCCCATGGACAATGTTCCTCCAGGCCTTCCTGTCCTCTACCATCTTTTGGAGTCCATTTAAGCTCACGCCTACTGCTTCAGTGACTCCATCCAGCTACCTTATTCTCTGTCATCCCCTTCTTCGGTTGCCCTCAATCTTTCCCAGCATTAGGCCCTTCTCCAGTGAGTCCTTCCTTCTCATTAGGTGGCCAAAGCAGGGCTTTTTTTCTGCCGGAACGCGGCGGAACGGCGTTCCGGCACCTTTTTCCGGGCCGGCCGCACCGGAAATAGCCCCTCCCAAACCGGAAATAGCCCCTCCCAAATTTTACTTGCATATTTTTTCTAAAGGGGCAGGCCTAGGGTTTGATGGGGGCGTGGCCAGGTTTGAGTTCCGCCACCTTTTCGCTGAGAAAAAAAGCCCTGGGCCAAAGTATTTGAGTTTCAACTTCAGGATCTGGCCTTCTAAAGAACAGTTGGGGTTGATGTCTTCTAGGACTGACCAGTTTGAATGCCTTGCAGTCCAAAAGACTCACAGGACTCTTCTCCAGCACCTTAGTTCAAAGGCCTCAATTCTTTGTCACTCAGCCTTTCTTATGGTCCAACTTTCACATCCATACATTGCAACTAGAAAAACCATGGCCTTGACTATACGCACTTTTGTTGGCAGAGTGATGTCTCTGCTTTTTAGTATGCTATCTAGATTTGCACATAGCTTTCCTCCCCAGGAGCAAGTATCTTTTAATTTCTTGGCTGCAGTCCCCATCTGCAGTGATCTTGGAGCCCAGGAAAATAAAATCTGTCACTACCTCCATTTCCTCCCTATCTATTTGCCAGGAATTGAGAGGGCCAGATGCCATGATTTTGGTTTTCTTAATGTTGAGTTTTAAGCCAACTTTTGCATTCTCCTTCTTCACCCACATCAAGAGGCTCTTTAGTTCCTTTTTACTTTCTGCAATTAGAGTGGTATCATCTGCATATCTTAGATTGTTGGTATTTCTCCCAGCAATCTTAATTCCAACTTTTGATTCATCTAGCCTTGCCTTTCTCATGATGTGTTCTGCATATAAGTTAAATAGGCAGGGCGACAGTATACAGCCTTGCTGGACTCCTTTCCCAATTTTGAACCAATCAGTGGTTCCATGTCCAGTTCTCACTGTTGCTTCTTGACCGCATATAGGTTTCTCAAGAGACAAATAGGATGGTCTGGTACTTCCATCTCTTTAAGAACTTGCCACAATTTGTTGAGTGGCCAAGTTTCTGCTCGGTTTCATCCATGGAGTCTGACAATGTTATTTGGCCTAGTCATAGTGTAGCTGGAAAAGGTATGGTAGCTTGGGTGTAAACAGATTTGCTTTTAAAAAAATGGATCCATGAGTCCTATCAGTAACATGATCCTTTTTTTTTTTTTTTTTTTTGCTAATTTGTATGTTTTACTACTGGTTGTCAATTATTTTAGAACAGTGGCTTTCTGAAAACAGCATCAGTTTAGTAGAGAGGCAATTAAACATGATAACTTTTCATCTAATGTAGAAATCATGAGTGTTTTATAAAGACTACCTGTCAAGCACCTTAAAAAAAATATAATTGGTTTTAAGCACATATTGAAGGGTCCTGAACCTCCACATGCATTAACTTTGTTTTGAAATTGCACCCAATTTTGAGAAAAAGCCATCTTTGGACATTCTGACTTAATATTCAGTATAATAAAGAAACATTTCCCAGATCTCTCTTTCCCTTAAAAATATTCTTTCATTCATAAATTGATTTCTTTGAGGTTGGTTCATTTAAAAATGGCATTTATTAGCCAGATTGGAATAATAAGCATTTATACATGAGAAAACATTTTTTCACAATACTATAGAGAAATGAAACTGTAATTATTGCAATTTTCTTTATATATATAATTAGCAGTAATATTATTAATTCTGAATTCTGGTTGCACTTAAAGCCCTGATATGGAATGTTTATGCAATAGCAAGAATAAAATTTAGTATTTATGAACAATCTCTGGCTGTTCCCATTCAGAGCTAGACTCTAGTTATAGCTAAATGCTATGAGAATAATTCCTGGTAATTAGGACTTGTTTTTCAGAGTTTCAGAATAAATTAAGTATTGTGAGGAATGGGTGACTGCATAGTTCCTTCTTGTGTAACCTTGAACATTCTAAAGCTTTATCCAACAAATTCTATTAGGGACATATGTTTGGCATAATTGTGTTGATAGTTTTGCTTATATTCTTATTTGATATGGTTTACAAGTATGACATGAAAAGTTGCAAGGTTAATGATCCCCTCCCTATTCTTCACACTTATTTCCAGTCCGGTGATTTCATCATGGGTGCTATTACTTCTCTTGTCTTCATGCCTCCAGATCCAACTACCTTTTCTGAAGATCCCCATCATTCATTTATAAGAGAACCCATGTAAGATTTTTATATAATAATGTTTAGTATTCCAGATTGTACTCTAGAATAACAATCCCCAAAGCAATAGAATTAGTTATGGGGTGAAATACGTAAATTTTCCAGGTGAGCCATTAATGAGGTGATTTTTTTTTTTTATTCTTCATTTTCACTGGACCTCTGAAAAGAATTATATTAGCTGATTTATTATTCCTAACACAGAAATAGATTAAACAATGAGTTTGCTAATTGAAGTCTTTCTCACTTAACTAATTATGGGTTTGGTACAGGAATAGCAATGTTTAAGGAAAAGGCCAGCAATTTTTATCATGAAAAAAGAATTCAAAACAAAGATGTACTGAAACTTGAAAAAAAAATTTAGTTCTAAAAATGGTTTTTATATTAAAACCCTGTTTTTTATTTATATTATATACCATCCCCTTAGTGCATGTACACTTACTATTATCTATAATGATAAAAAGTGATATTGAAAAGCATCTTAGACAGTAAAATATTTATATTTTTGTTAAAAATTAAAGTGTATTTTAATACATATTCAGATTAATATAAGGACTGTTAGATTAATATAGGTTCTTAAAAACATTTATAGTTCAATAACAATAAAATGGCACACCTCTCTCTATATAAAAACGTAGATTAATGACATTATTTGATACCTTCACATGGCAAATATTTTAATTATGCCTCCATGTTTCAAGACCTTATCAATGAGACTGCAGCTATTTAACAATTTCACTGTGCTGAACTCAAAATGCCAGCAATAGGCAGAAAATATAATTAGTCATTGAGTTGTCTTTCTTAAGAAAGACTGACTTCAAAATGCATATCTTTCTCTTCATCTACTAGAATTACAAAAACAAAGCAAAGCAAACAAACAAACAAACAGTGTAGAACCCCAAAATGGCAACAGCCAGAAAATGTGATTTAGACTTAGAAACAAGGCAATATTATGAGAAATGTGAACTAATCCTTGTCAGTCCACAATGTCACAAGTTGAGTGACATTCTGATTTTGTGATAAAGTGTATTCCATTGGTATGACAGATAAAAGCATTGCATTCAGGAATAGAATGGTTTGATGAATCATACATTTGCTGCAATACTTTTTGTTAGATATAGAATATATCTTATAATGCTTTTTTATTGCAGAGTCCAGACTAAATTTTATCAGCATATTTTAGCTTTAATATTTGCTGTAAAGGAGATCAATGAAAACCCTCAGATCTTGTGCAACATCACCTTGGGTTTCAATATTTTCGACAGCTACGATGAGACATGGACTTATCATACCACAATGAAACTATTTTCACCATTGAAGAGAATAATCCCAAATTATAAATGTGGCTTTCAGAACAACATGATTGCAGTCATTGGAGCTCTTTATTCTGAAACTTCTATTTACATGGGAGATATCTTGAAAACCTATAAAGTTCCGCAGGTAAGAGGTGTGATGAGACACGATATCATATTATGTCATTTTGATCTTTTTACATTTCTGTAACTTGGAAACCTTATATATTTATACTTCAATAAAGTGAATAAAGCATATAAGTCAATAAAAGATAAAATTTAAAAAAAAATCATTGCAGAAAATAGGCCAGTAGTGTAATCATAAAATATTCAGTGAATTAAGAATATTTATTTAAAAATGGAAATATTCACAATATGCAAGATTAATTTAAAAAGTTCATAAATCATATTTCTTGGTCATAGATATAGTAAAATATTTTTTTTCTTAGAGAGAAGCTAAGAACAAAACCTGCATTCTTAAACAGCAACACCTAATTATATTCGTCACATTATTTTCTTCAAGTTATAGGATTTTACCCTAAAAAGGAAGCTTCCTGAGAATTTTTTAATTACAGAATAGAGATAGATAGATAGATAGATAGATAGATAGATAGATAGATAGATAGATAGACAGTCAGATTGATTGATTGATAGATGATAGATAGATAATTTAAAAAACCACAAAATGCAATTTTAAATGTTGTATACAATGACAACATTTTTAATTTTTAATTTAAATTTAAATGTTAGGAAATTTTAGTCCACCAGTTATTTCCATGGGGGAAAATATTAATTTCCTTCCATTCTCTAAATTTCTACTTCTTCTTTTTTTGTTTTTACTCCTGCAGATTATATATGGATCACATCCAGAGATGCCAGATCAAAGTGAATCTTTTTCCTTCTATCGAATGGTCCCTGGTGAAAGTTATGAATACAAAGGTCTGCGTCATCTGCTTTTGCACTTTGGATGGACCTGGGTTGGGATTCTTGTAAAAGAAGATGACGATGGAAGATTTGTGAGAATGACATTTTCAACGTTTCTTCTTCATGGCATTTGTATTGCCTTCCTTAAAAAAATAAGACCAATTTATATCAGTAATATTTCTGAGGATCTAGAATGGCTAGCAGAAATATATCATGTTTCAATGAACAACAAAGCCAAAGCAGTGATTGTCTATGAAAGAACACTTCTGCATTTGAGGTTACTATTACATCTTCCTAAAATGGAACTAGTGTCCTTAGAGCCTAAAGGTAAGGTGTGGATCATGACCTCCCAGATGGATCTTGCATCAGTGTTTTACCAAAAGAGCTGGGATATTCAAGACATCCATGGTTCCCTATCCTTTTCAGTTCACTCCAGTGATATTCCAGGATTTCAGGACTTTGTCCAGGCAAGACACCATTTTTCATCAAAAGAAGATGGCTTTATCAAAGATGTGTGGGTACATGCATTTGACTGTTCCTTTCCCAGTACTTTGGTGAATGATAAAGATAGTGATATTTGTACTATGAAGGAGAAACTAGAGGACCTCCCTGGGACTTTTTTTGAAATGAGCATGACTGGCCATAGTTACAATATATATAATGCAGTATATGTTGTAGCTCATGCTTTGCATGCCCTGCAGATTGAACAAAAACAAGAAAGAAACCTGTACAGAGGAAAACAAAATCTTCAGACTCAGCATCCATGGCAGGTATAGACTTGAGCTGTCATTCTTTAATCTATTCAGTATCTTTATAGATGTATATAGATCGCTTCATTTACTCAATAAATTGGTGTTAGATTTATTATACTTCTGACTTCCAGTACAATTTCATAGACATACAAATTTACTAAGATACATACAAATTTCTGCACATTTCAGGAGCCAGAAATGGACATTTTTCCTATTTTTGAACCTCAAGCAATTTCCAAAATGGTTTTTAGTAGTTTAATGAAATACAGTGAAAATACCTATTAAAAAGCAGAATATGTACAATTATAAAATCAAGACAAAAATATTGGTAAAAATAATGCACATTAAGAGAAAGAATACATTGAAAATCAATTCAATTGAACAATTGACTGTTATGTTGCATTTGATTTTTAAAAGATCTCCAACACATTCTAAAACTTGATTCATTTAAAAGTCTGCCAAAAAAAAGTAATACCCAAGCTGAAACCTTAACCTATTTCCTCTATCAGTTATATATCAATATTCCATGATGATAGCTCTTTCATAATCTGAAAGGTTAAAATCTTCTAATAGGAAGTTGCACTCATGAAAATTAAAAAATAATGCATACTTGATACCCACCGAGTTTCTTTAATCTTCTTCTAATCCTCTAATCTTCTGTGAGGCTTCTTAGAAGACAGACAGTCCTTTCAAGCCAAGATATCTATGCTTTCAGAAATTATTCCATATTGTCAGTTTTAATTAGAAGACAGGAAATGTTTCATTTGATATGCATTAGAAAATGTTAGGGTACTGTAGACTATCTTGGAACCATTTTTTTTTTATGAAAATGGAATCTTTAAGAAAATTGTAATGTTGTTCAGGGGAAAATATAACCCTATAGAATATTGGAAGTTTCTTAATGAGATGCTTTTACATATCAGGAAATTTTATTCATTAATGACATTCTGACTAATTTTTGTGTATTATTTGATCTTCAGCTCCACCAGTTTCTAAAAAGCATTGCATTTAATAACAGTGTTGGGGATGAGATTTTGTTTGATCAGAAAAGGGAACTGATAGTTGGATTGGATGTTATCAATTGGGTCACCTTCCCCAACCAGTCTTTCTGTCGAGTGAAAGTTGGGAAACTGAATCCCTTGACTTCTGAGGGCAAAAAGCTCATCATTCATGATGAAGCCATCACCTGGCATGAATCTTTCAACCAAGTAGGTTTCGAATGTAGGTAATTACATCTATATGTTATTTAATATACAGGTGGTCCTCAATTCACAACTATTCATTTAGTGACTATTCAAAGTTACAATGGCACTGAAAAATGTGACTTATAACCATTGAAACAAATGTGACTTATAACCATTGAAACATTCCTCATAATCATGTCATCAAAAATTGGGTGCCAGGCAACTGAGATGTAATTATGATGGTTGCAGCATCCCAGGATCATGTGGACATCATTTGCAACCTTCCCAGACAGCTTCTTACAAGCACTCAATGGAGAAAGCTGGATACACTTAATGACTGTATAATTCACTTAACAACTTCAGTGATTTGCTTAAAAACTATGATTAAAAAAAGGTTGTAAAATTGGGCATGATGCACTTAACAATCACCTTGCTTAGCAAGAGAAATTCTGGTCCCAATTGGGGTCATAAGTCAAGGACCACCTGTATAAATAAAACATAAACATACTACATCTATGTTTTTTATGTTGCATAAAGCTGAAAAAAATGTAAGCAACGGCACCAAGGGAACAGTGACAGAAGTGGCCAGGAGGTCCTTTGCACACCATCAAATGGTGCACCAGTTGCATCCATACCTGGATTGGATTGCCCTGCTCACATTACCTCATACCTTGTAACCTCTAGATTAGACTACTGAAACACGCTTTACAAGGGGCTGCCCTGAAGACCATTTAGAAACTCCAACTGGTGCAGAATAAAGCTGTGTGGATAATAATTGGTGCCAGATATATGGCACACATAACACCACTTCTGAGTTAGCTGCACTTGTTGCCAGTGTGTTCCCAGGTGCAATTCAAGGAGCTGGTGGTTATTTATAAATCCCTACATGGCTTTGGACCAGGTATCTGAAAGATTGCCTTTTTTCTATAGTCTTTCCCTATCCAACCAGGTAAAATAGAATGGGCATGCTGCACATCAGCCAAAGAATGTTGGTTGGCAGGGACTAGAATGTTAACTTTTTCTGCAGTGGCCCCTGCTCTGGGGAACATCCTCCCTTCGAATATTACAATTTAGCCTTTCATAAAGTTCTTAAAACCTGGTTATGCTCTTGAGCCTGAGGTGCTGCATGTGCCAAGAACTGTGCCTCCTGGCTAGATGGTTAATGGGCTAGATATCTTACTTTTGTATGTACTTCCTTTTTTTTTTTTTTGCGGTTTTAATGCTTTTTACTGCTTTTATTATTTTAAAGTATTTTTTTAAAATTAATTGTAATATATGTTTTGAATTGTGAGCTGCCCTGCCATTTGCTGAAATGGGCATATATAGAAATCAATAAAATAAATTGTATAGTTTCTACATGGAAGCCTTCCCCTCATATGGGAACTATGATGCAAAAAAGGATTTTGCAATAGTGGCAAATATCTATAGCTTGGGTGTAGGATGAGGGTGAAAGTTTGTTCTCTGAGCTTGTGGGTTGGTTCCTGAATGTTTTGTAACAAAACATTCAGAAACCAACCCACTAACTCAAATAACAAACCTTTACCCTCAAAAAAGTTTTTTTTTTGCTTGTGACCTTTACTTCTAAAATCTCTTCTGTGTGTACATGTGTAGGTATGTATTTCTTTGTATGATGTTTGTCAGAAAAATATTGAAGATGATGTACTAAGTAATGCATCTACATGATTTACAGAGTAATAACAATATTTGTAGTTCAGAACTGTGGAATCCTTGATGCTCTCTGAGCTTGGTTTTTTCTGTAGATGTTTCATTACCCAACTATGTAACATCAGTATGCCCTGGAGATATTACCTAATTGAGTAAGAAAACATCTATAAGAAAACAACCAAGCTGCAAGGGCAGCAAGAGAGAGTTGAACTGCTACTGTTTCTGAGTTTTTAGATATATCAGTTGCTTGGTAAATTGGCTACTTCTTCATTGTAGAATCAATAGCCATATGATTGTTTATATGTACATGTTCTCTATATGTAAATAACTTGTAAGAATGCTAATATATTTTATTTTTTTCTTATTTCTGGGCCAGACACTACCTATTTCTCTGTGTACTAAGAGCTGCCTCCCTGGTAATTTCAGGAGAAAGCAGGAGGAAAAACAATTTTGTTGCTATGATTGTCTTCCATGTCCTAAAGAGAAAATGTCAAACCTGATTGGTAAGAAACATTATGAAATAAGATCTTGTGACTCTGCAGGATATACCAATAGAGAGGAAATTTTTGATGATGTAACCTGACATATGCATGAAAGAGCTTGTTATTTGATTATGGATTACCCAATCACCATGTTTCTTCCTTAACATTTGGAGCTTTTGTAAAATTGGAAAATTAATAAAACTTGTAATAAAAAAAGAATAATTCTTGTATTATGAAACTCATCCAGGTAAACAGATGGCGTTAATATTCCTTGATGCACAAAAAGTGTTTGATAATGTAAACTGGCAATTTATGTTTCAGCAGCTTGTAGAAATGGATTTTGGGGAAAAAAATATAAATGCAATCCCAACAATCTATGATAAACAGACCGCTAGAATAATTGTAAATGGAGATTATACAGAAAACTTTAAAATTAAAAAGGGTACAAGACAGGGATGTCCATTATCCCCACTGCTATTTATATTAACACTGGAAGTATTGAATAGAAATATTAGACAAGATGTAGAAATTAAAGGACTCGAGATAAAAGATGAAAAATATAAATTACAAGCATTTGCAGACAATCTGGTTTTTATATTGGAAGAGCCACTTGAAACAAGCACTAAACTGCTGGAAAAAAATAGAAAAAATGGAGAAGTGGCAGGTCTGAGAATAAATAGAGAAAAGACTAAAGCGTTGACAAAGAATTTAACAGAAAAACAGAAAAAACAACTTTCAAAAAAACAAATCTTCAAATAGTTAAAATCTACTTAACAGCAAGATGTGAAACAGTAAAAGAAGATATATATACACGATTGTTAAAACAAATAAAACTGGATTTGGAAAAGTGGAAAAATTTTCAATTGTCAATGTTGGGGAGAATAGCTACAGTGAAAATGAATATTTTACCGAAAATACTCTTCCTATTTCAAATGATTCCTGTAAGACTGGGAAAAGCTCTTTTTGACGAACTGAATGCAATAATATTGAAATTTATCTGGCAAGGAAAAAAAGCGCAAATTAAACTGAAAATGTTACAAGAAGCTAAAAATAGTGGAGGATTTGGACTCCCAGACTGGAGGTTGTACTACCAAGCAACTATCTTAACATGGCTCAAAGAATGGATATTGCTTAGAAACAAAAGACTACTGTACCTGGAGGGGTATGACCTGCAGATTAGTTGGCATGCCTTTCTGTGGTACGGAAAGAATAAAATACATAGATACTTTAAAAACCATTTTATAAGGAATGTACTTCTTTTAGAATGGGAAAAATAAAAGAAAAAAATTACATTAAGATACCTGAATGGCTTTCAACAATGGAAGCTTTTGCCTACCCAAACTTAACTTAATTAATTATGATAAAGTTGTAACTTATAAATATATTTCTGATAATGAAGGGAAACTGAAACATAGACAAGATCTACAACAACAAGGTATTGATTTAGCATGGTGGCCATACTTACAAGTCCAAACGAGATATGAAAAAGACGTGAAAACAATGGGATTTTATAAAGAACTGACAGAATTTGATCAAGTATTGTTAAAGACAGATGATAAGTTGATTAAGAAACTTTATAGGTTTCTGCTAAATCTAAAGATGGAAGAAGAACAAGTAAAAGAAACAATGATAATATGGGCAAAGAACTTTGGGTATACTATAGAGTTAGTAGCATGGCAAAAACTATGGAATAGAAGTATCAAACTAATTAAAGCTGTGCCATATAAAGAAAACTTGTATAAAATGTTCTACAGATGGCATATGATACCAGTGAGATTAGCGAAAATGTTTAAAAATACCCCAAATAATTGTTGGAAATGTAAACAAAGGCCAGGTATTTATTACCATATCTGGTGGACATGCCCTAAAGCAAAAAGGGTTTGGGTCAAAATACATTCATGGTTGGAGAAGATGACTAAAAAACAAATAAACTTTAAACCAGAATTGTTTCGGTTAGAAATAATAGGAGCTAATTACGAGAAGGAGAGCGGATATCTAATATTACATGTATTAACAGCAGCAAGAATTGTGTTTCCCCAATATTGGAAAAATGAAAACTTACCAACTGAAGAAATATTAATTAAAAATTTTTAGAGTGTCCAGAAATGGATAAATTGACTTTAGAGATTAAAGAGAAAGAAAATTCAGTTTACTTTAGAACATGGGATAATTTTTATCAATGGCTAGAAAAACGATTTAGAGAGAAAGGAATGTGATAAGTAACTTTGAATACATACTAGTAAGAAGGATGACATGGAGTGATTAACTAATATTGTCTAAAATAATTAACCATATTTATTGTTATCACAGTATTATATCTATTATTGCTATTTAAATGTATGTACCCAGACAATATGCTGTTTGCTAAATATTGAAAATGTTACCTGGGGAAACCCCAGCCCTATCGCCAACCCTGATCACAACCCTAATACAGATCCCAATCCCAACCCTGACCCCATCTTACCCTTAACCCCATAAAATTAATAAAACTTAAAAAAAAACAATCAGTCAAACAACCCACTTGATGGACTCCATCCCACTCTGGGTTCTTCAGGCCTATTGGCAAAACCAGGTCTTCAGGACCTTGTGAAAGTGTCAAAGTGGGGCTAGGGGATGGTGTTCCAAAGTGAGGGAGCCATCATGGAGAAGGGCCTTCTTCTGGGTCCCACCAGACGTACCTCCTTAGGAAAGGGGAGATCAATATTCCTTGTCTCCCTGCTCTGGTGGGTTGGGTGGATGTAGAGAAACAGTCCTTCAGATAACCTGATCCCAAGCTTCAAAAGGTTTTAAAAGTGACAATAAGTACCTTAAATTGTACCCAGAAGCAAATTGGCAGCCAATGCAGCTCCTGCAGGATAGGTGACATATATAGACATCTGGCCTGCACAAAACCACACAGGCTGCTACATTTTGAACCAATTGGAGTTTCCAGACATTTTTCATGGGTTGCTCCATGTAGAAGTACCAATGACAAGATGCACTTGTGCCTCTCAATAGATGCATCTGAGAGTTTTTCTCCTCCAAAAAGTTCTAAATTATGAATCAAAAGCAAAAACAAAATCTAGGAAAGTCAAGATTTTATTTTTTTACACATATCTGCCTGAGATGGTGTAATATAAGAATATTATCTACAATTGATCAATCATCTCTGAATTCTGTCTCCCCAACACAATATTTTCATATTCCTATAGGTTTACATTTTAAATGTTTGCTCGATCTGTCCAATCAACTTCTTCTTCATGCATGGAAGACACCGTTTAAAGTTTTGCATGTAGACTCTAATAAGAATTTGAATAGAAACAGTATAGATAGAGATAAAGTGGATACTTATTTTGGTCATCTTATCAGAAAGTCATATTAATAGAGTCTTTGGAATTAAAAAATATGCTATTAATTATATTTTATTCCAAATAATTAAAATGGAATTTATCTGATCTCCCCCCATTATTAGCCTCCTAATTTTCATTAATTGACCAGTATCCCAAAAGTTGGAAGACAGTAATAGTAATGGACAAAGACAAACTGAAAATATTGGTGCCAGCTATAGATGAAGGAAAGACACTGAAAAATCATATGTGATAAGAAGAGTAATGGAATTATAATAGAGGAATAACAGATTATTTTTCTTTTAAAAAATATCTTACAGACATGGATGATTGTTCTGGATGCCCAGAAGACCAATATACAAGCATGGACCAAGATTCATGTATTCCAAAGAGAATATCTTTCTTATCCTATGAAGAACCAATGGGAATAAGTCTAGTTATTTTGGCACTCTTTTTTTCCTTTTGTACAATTTTGATGCTGTCAACATTTTTGAAATATCACCATACTCCCATTGTCAAAGCTAATAATCGAAATCTCACCTATGTTCTACTCATCTCCCTCCTCTTCGGCTTCCTTTGCTCACTGCAGTTCCTCATTGCACCAAATGATATAATATGTCTCCTCCGACAAATTAGTTTTGGCATCATCTTCTCAATGGCTGTGTCTTCTGTGCTGGCTAAAACCATCACCGTGGTTTTGGCTTTCATGGCCACCAAGCCAGGATCCAGAATGAGGAAATGGGTGGGAAAACGGTTAGCCACCTCCATTGTTCTGTCTTGTTCCCTGATTCAAGCAGGCATATGCATTGTGTGGCTGTTCACATTTCCTCCTTTTCCAGATGTTGACACCCATTCAGAAATTAAGGAAATGATACTGCAGTGCAATGAAGGTTCAGCTACCATGTTCTACTGTGTCTTGGGCTACATGGGCTTTCTGGCAGCTGCCAGTTTCATAGTAGCTTTTTTCTCCAGGAATCTTCCTAGTAGTTTCAATGAAGCCAAATGTCTCACATTTAGCATGCTAATTTTCTGCAGTGTGTGGCTCTCCTTTGTTCCATCCTACCTGAGCACAAAAGGCAAATATGTGGTGGCTGTGGAGGTTTTCTCCATTTTGGCCTCTAGTGCTGGGTTGTTGGTTTGCATATATTTCCCCAAATGTTATGTAATAATTTTTAGGCCAGAACTAAACAACCAGAAGCAACTAATTAAAAGACAATATTAATAATGTAAATAAAAATATTTATTTCTATTATTTCTCATTTTCAATATCTTTTCTTTTAAATTTCCATTTTTAATCATTTATATTTGTATATTTTGGAATCTTTTGTCATGTATTTATTGAATACAAAGTTCTTGGAAGCTTTCTACCTTAGAAGAAGGAAATAGCAACCCACTCCAATATCTTTGCCATGAAAACCCCATGGACAGTGCCAAAAGGCAAAAATATATAATGCTGGAAGATGAGCCCCTCAGGTTGGAAGGTGTCCAATATGCTACTGGGGAAGAGCAGAGGGCTAGTACTAGTAGTGCCAGAAAGAGTGAAGTGACTGGACCAAAGCTGAAAGGACGCTCAGCTGTGGATGCATCTGGTGGTGAAAAGAAAGTCCGATGCTGTAAAGATCTTTTCTCCATAGGAACCTGGAATGTAAGATCCATGAATCAAAGCAAACTGGACGTGGTCATACAAGAGATGACAAGACTGAACATTGACATCTTAGGAATCAGCGAACTAAAATGGATAGGAATGGGTGAATTTAATTCAGAGGACCATCAGGTATACTACTGCAGGGAAGAATACCTCAGAAGAAATGGAGTAGCCTTCATAGTCATGAGTAGGAAAAGCAATACTGGGATTCAATCCCCAAAATGACAGAATGATCTCAGTTCGATTCCAAGGCAAACCATTCAATATCACAGTAGTCCAAGTCTATGCCCCAACCACTGGTGCTGAAGAGGATGAAATTGACCGGTTCTATGAACCCTTACAGCACCTTATAGAATCAACATCAAAAAATGATGTCCTTATCATCATGGGGGATTGGAAGCCAAAAGAAAACTGAAATAACTGGCAAGTTTGGCCTTGGAGTACAAAATGAAGCAGGGCACAGGCTGATAAAATGTTGTCAGGAGAATACGATGGTCATAGCAAACACTCTTTTCCAACAACTTAAGAAACGGCTCTACACATGGACATCACCAGACGATCAACACAGAAATCAGATTGAACATGTGCTCTGCAGCCAAAGATGGAAAAGCTCTATATAATCAGTAAAAACAAGACCAGGAGCTGACTGTGGCTCAGATCATGAGCTTCTTGTTGCAAAAGTTAGGCTTAAATTGAAAAAAGTAGGGAAAAATACTAGGCCACTCAGATATGAACTACCGTATTTTTTGCACCATAAGACGCACCTGACCATAAGACGCACATAGTTTTTAGACGAGGAAAACAAGAAAAAAAATATTCTATCTAAAATGAAGATAACACTGCATATATCCTTTTTTACCTTTAATATATGTGTGTGTGTGTGTGTGTGTGTGTGTCTGTGTCTGTGTCTGTGTGTGTATATATAAAATAAAGGTAAAAAGATATACCGTATGCAGTGTTCTCTTCAATTTAGATGTCAAAAGGGTCTCTCTGTCTCTCTCTTTCTCTTCTCTTTCTCTTTCCTTTTTTCGTTCTTCTTTTTCTCTCTTTCCTCTCCCCCTTTATCTTTCTCTCTCTTTCCTCTCTTTCCCTCTTTCCTCTTTTTCTCTTTCTCTGTCTCTCTTTCTCTTTCCCTCTTTCCTCTTTCCTTTTCTTTCCTCTCTCTTTCTCTTCTCTTTCCTCTCTTTTCTCAATCTTTTTTCTCTTTCCTCTTTTTCTCTTTCCTCTCCCCCTTTCTTTCNTCTGTTTCTTTCTCTCTTTCCTCTTTCTTCCTCTTTCCTTTAACTTTCTCTCTTTCCTCTCTCTTTCCTCTTTCTTCCTCTTTCCTTTAACTTTCTCTCTCTCTTTCCTCTCTCTTTCTTTCTGTCTCTGTCTGTCCCTGTCTCTCTTTCCTCTCTCTTTCTCTCTTTCTCTTCCTCTTTCCTCTAACTTTCTCTCTCTTTCCTCTCTTTCTCTCTCTTTCCTCTTTCTCTTTCCTCTTTCTCTCTCCTCGCTCTTTCTCTCTTTCTCTTTCCTCTTTCCTCTTTCCACTCTTTCTCTTTCCCTTTCTTTCCTCTCTCTTTCTCTTCTCTTTCTCTTTCCTTTTCTTTCCTCTTTTTCTCTTTCCTCTCCCCTTTCTTTCTCTTTCTTTCCTCTCTCTTTCCCTCTTTCCTCTCTTTTTCTCTCTTTCTCTGTCTCTTTCTCTTTCCCTCTTTCCTCTCTCTTTCTCTTTCCTCTTTCCTTTCTCTTTCCTCTCTCTTTCTCTTCTCTTTCCTCTCTCTCTTTTCTCAATCTTTTTTCTCTTTCCTCTCCCCCTCTTTCTTTCTCTCTTTCCTCTCCCCCCTTTCTTTTCCCTTTCTCTCTTTCTCTTTCCTCTCTCCTTTCCTCTTTTTCTCTCTTTCCTCTTCCCTTTCTTTCTTTCTCTTTCTTTCTCTTTCTTTCCTCTCTCTTTCCCTCTTTCCTCTCTTTTTCTCTCTTTCTCTGTCTCTTTCTCTTTCCCTCTTTCCTCTCTCTTTCTCTTTCCTCTTCCTCTCTTTCCTCTCTTTCTCTTCCTTTCCTCTTTCTCTCTTTCTCTCCCTCCCTCTCCCTCCAGGTTAGGAGAGAGAGAGAATGAAAGGCAGACGGCGCCGATCGGGCAGGGAAGGGGGAGCAGGACGCGAGGCAGCGCCTCCCGCCCGCCGTCCCCATCGCCTCCTCAGCCAAACGGGCAGGGAAGGGGGAGCAGGACGCGAGGCAGCGCCTCCCGCCTGCCGTCCCCATCGCCTCCTCGGCCGAACGGGCAGGGAAGGGGGAGCAGGACGCAAGGCAGCGCCTCCTGCCCGCCATCCCCATCGCCTCCTCGGCCGAACGGGCAGGGAAGGGGGAGCAGGACGCGAGGCAGCACCTCCCGCCCGCCGTCCTCATCGCCTCCTCAGCCGATGGGGAGGGGGAGCAGGACAGGAGGCAGCCAAAGAAGCAAGCGGCTGGGAGGCCGCGGCGGCGCCTACCTCCTGCGCCTGTCAGCTGGCAAGCCCCGGACCTGCGCCCGTCAGCTGGGAGGTCTGGAGATGGAGACGGCTGGCATGCAGGGCGATGGGGAAGCGATGACTCGGCGGGCGCAAGAGGTAGGCGCGCGCGAATCCTGCACGCGAATGTCAGGCCCACCCGACCATGCAAGGGCTTGCATGGTCGCCAGCGGCGGGGAGCGTGTCAGCGGCCCTTGGGGACCATGCAAGCCCTTGCAGTCGCTCCAGCCGAAGAAGCAAACGGCTGGGAGGCCGCGGCGGAGTGGTTGGGAGGCCGCGGCGGCGCCTACCTCCTGTGCCCGTCAGCTGGCGAGCCCCGGACCTGCGCCCGTAAGCTGGGAGGTCTGGAGATGGAGCCGGCTGGCATGGAGGGCAATGGGGAAGTGGTGGCTCGGCGGGCGGGGTCCTGCCTGCGCGCGAATGTCAGGCCCACCCGCCCCATCTGTAAAAGAAAACGTCTTCCGCCCAAGCATAACGGCAGCAGTTCTGTGCCACAGAGGCTTGAAACACGGAGGCGCGGGATGCGGAGCGACACGGTGGGAGGCGGCATTCTCTCCATAAGACGCACAGACATTTTCCCCCATCTTTTGGGGGGGGGGAAGTGCGTCTTATAGAGCGAAAAATATGGTAAATCATATCCCTGATGAATATACAGTAGAGGTGACAAATAGATCTAAGAATTAGATCTGATAGACAGAACTATGGACGGAGGTTCGCAACATTGTACAAGAGGTAGCAACTATAACCATCCCAAAGAAAAAAAAATGCAAGAAAGCAAAATGGTTGTCCGAGGAAGCTTTGCAAATAGCTGAGGAAAGAAGGGAAGCAAAAGGCAAGGGAGAAAGAGAAAGATATACCTAATTGAATGCAGAATTCCAGAAAATAGCTAGAAGAGATAAGAACGCCCTCTTAAAGAAAAGGAAGAAAACAATAGAATAGGGAAAACCAGAGATCTCTTCAAGAAAATTGGAGATGTGAAGGGAACGTTTCATGCAAAGATGGGCATAATAAAGGTCCAAAATGGCAGGGACCTAACAGAGGCAGAAGATGGGGTGGTCACTGACCTCGAGCCAGACATCCTAGGATGTGAAATAAAATGGACCTTAGGAAGTTTGTCCAACAACAAAGCTAGTGGAGATGACAGTATTCCAGCTGAGCTATTCAAAATCTTAAAAGACGATGTAGTAAAAGTGCTACACTCAAATTGCCAGCAAATTTGAAACACTCAACAGTGGCCACAGGATTGAAAAAGGTCAGTTTACATTCCAATTCCAAAGAAAGGCAATGCCAAAGAATGTTCAAACTATCACACCATTGCACTCATTTCACATGCAAGTAAAGTTATGCTTAAAATCCTACAAGCTAGACTCCAGCAGTATGTGGATCGAGAACTACCAGAAGTACAGGCAGGATTTTAAGAGGCAGAGAAATTAGAGGTCAAATTACCAGTATACACTGGATCATGGAGAAAGATAGTGAGTTCAAGAAGAACATCTACTTCTGCTTCATTGACTATGCTAAAGCCTTTGACTGTGTGGATCACAACAAATTGTGGCAAGTTTTTAAAGAGATGGGAGTACCAGACCATCCTATTTGTCTCTTGAGAAACCTATATGTGGATCAAGAAGCAACAGTGAGAACTGGACACAGAACCACTGATTTGGTTCAAAGTTGGGAAAGGAGTCCATCAAGGCTGTATTCTGTTGCCCTGCCTATTTAACATATGCAGAGCACATCATGAGAAAGGCAGGGCTAGATGAATCAAAAGTTGGAATTAAGATTGCCGAGAGAAATATCAACAACCTAAGATATGCAGAGTGGATGATACCACTCTAATGGCAGAAAATGAAGAGGAACTAAAGAGCCTCTTGATGCGGGTGAAGAAGGAGAGTGCAAAAGTTGGCTTGAAACTCAACATTAAGAAAACCAAGATCATGGCATCCGGCCCTCTCAATTCCTGGCAAATAGATGGGGAAGAAATGGAGGTAGTGACAGATTTTATCTTCCTAGGCTCCAAGATCACCACAGATGGGGACTGCAGCCAAGAAAAGCTGTGGGAAGAAAAGCTATGGCAAATCTAGACAGCATACTAAA